AAAAGGAATCGCTGGACTCTTTGACAACCCCTGAAATCAGTTTAACTCGAAGTTGTCGTAACCTCAGTGCTTTAATAAAATGAGAAATTTCGCCGGTCTATTGAAACCGGTCGTTTGTACAATTCAGGGAGTTTAAGATTCAACGACGCGGACGACAACTAGAACTTCAAAAAACAATAGGTTTAATTAGCAAAACAACAACTTCGCAAGTGCAACACACTTTTTTGTTCATTTCTTTCCCGTTTTTGCACGACTACGACGTGAAAATGCCTAATTTCGCGTTTTATGGAGGACTTAAATAAGCAACGACGAAATTTTATTTCTCTTTCTGAACTTGAATATGGTCCCTTGAAATTCAGTTTTAGGAGGGTTCGCCTACAATTGACAAAGTAAGTGGGTAGGAATAATCGCTATAAAGACTGAAAAAAATAAACATCAAACCAGAAATTGCTCTCTTCAAACTGTAAATTTTAAATGATCCTGAGAGAATATTCAGTGTGTTAAGGATTTCCCTGCTCTACTGTTAGCTCTATACAAGAGAGGAAGGGCGATTCTTTTTTAATTTCGGTTTCGCTGACACAGCTTTCGCAGAAATCTCCGAGACAGCGGCGCTGTAGTCGTTTTCGTCGACAATGAGGAATAGCAAAATCGCTCTCCGCGTCTTCCCCCATTTTGTTCTGCGTCATTTCGTGAAGGACGCGTGGTTCTCAGCGTGGGTCATCCACGCGGAACACATTCGCGCTATGTGATTGGCTGTTGTCTAATCCCCCTTGAGATCTGTGGTGTTAAAAATAGCTCGAGACGAATTACCTGTGGAATAGGGTGTATATGGGGGATGCCCTCTCTGTCCCCTTTATAGTCTCTTGGTGTAAACTGTGGCCTCCCATTTCTCTGCCATCACTGTCTGTGTTTGAATTCCGTAGCTAAAAGATATTGGACCGCCTGAAGAAGAACATTTGTCTACGAAGAAGTGTAAGTGATGTTTTTCTCCTGGGATTAAGTCGACATTTGATGGGAGAGGCTCATACGGGCACCAGTCGAATACGAGGGCATTATTGTTGGGAATTATCTTCTCTTTTACTGATGAGGACAGGATAACGTTGCAGAAATATTCTTTGGTACACGACTCAATATCAGATTCCTTCTCTTTACCGAGAACACGGCGAAAATTGCAATATCTGTCAAGGTTTCCTGTTGGTTTCTCTTGCACAAAAAACGACAATTCATCACGCTCAAGAATTTGATGGGGCGTTTTCCTACGAATGACTTTAGAGAGATCTAGGAAACTTGTCCCTCGCTCTCTGGAGACGTTCGGGAAGTTTGTCCGTACGTGTTCGTCCAATGCATCGGCAATCTTTCGTTGGAGACCCTGACCACGAAGATTGGGTATTACGCGATCAAAGCGACGGACAAAAGTTTTTCCTTCGTCAACAATGCAGCTTGCACACAGCCCGATAAGACTTCTGCCTGCAAACAATAGCATTATGGCTATATTTTCCTTCTTAAGCCATTCGTGGAATACAACAGGAATACAGTCGTAACCGTTAAAAATTCCCCTTGATAATTTCACGACGTTGTCGAAGTCGTTTGACGTAGCCAGGCGACAAGTAAGTTCTTCGTGAATTTGGTGGAAAACCTGCGACCTGAAAAGAGATGAACCCTCCAATGATTGAACATGAAAACCCGTCTTTGAAGAAAATTCGTGACAGCCGCCATTTAGAAGTTCTAAATGAAACGTGAGGTGCGAGGCAAAATACTTACTGAGGAATCGCACAATGAGACAAGAAATTAAAATGTCATCACAGTTGGCCTGAAAGTGTCCTTAAGTTGAGTGTTTCTTCTTCCCTGTGTGGTTTTCGAGCCGATTTATGGCTATTTAATGGGTTTTATTGGAACCGATTTGCTGCTTCTTAAGCAAGGTTAGCCGATTTTTATTGAAAATTCTTTGACATCCGTGGGTTACAGAAACATTTGTTTTTTCTCTCATACAAATTCTTATATTTTGAACGTTACACAACGGTGAAGATACTTGGGCCACCTGTGATGTCATCAGCAATTAATCACGTACATGAATCAGAATAAACAAGTAAGAAATTCGAAGCGAGAATCGTCAATCAGATAAAACAGAAAACAAAACTCCGAATAACTGAAATTCAGAATTGGAAGTAAAAGAGACTTAAAATTTTTTAAGTTTGTGGGGAGGGACGAAACACGAGCTCCCCCAAAAACGCCTACGTGGGAGGCTAGGCTGATGGGCAAACTTTTAAGAAGATTTGGAAATGGATTGCATTAGTGGTTTTTCAAAACGTCCAAAAACGTATTAGCCTAACAGTTTTTCAGAGACCACTTTTGTTGTTTATAACGTTTGAAATACAGTTGACTCCCGATACCTCGAACCCTCGCTTACTCGAACCTCGCGCTAACCCGAACCAAAATTGATTTCCCCTGGATTTCCTTCATACATTTACTGTAATTTTATCCTCAGTAACTCGAACCCTCGATAACTCGAATCTCTAAGCCAGTGCAGAGTTGAGACCTGTTTACATGGAGGTGGGGGACCCCAGATAAGTGAGGTAACCCGCTTAGGTGGGGTAACCCGCCTGTCCATATAATCTGTCATATGGTCATGTAAAAGTGATCAAATTGAAATGAGAGAGTAAATGGACAGGCAGGTTACCTCATGTAAGCGGGTTCCCTCACCTACGTAGGGTCCCCCATCACCATGTATCATGCCCTTAGCTTTCCCCGCATTGTACATAGCCGTAGGAGAGAGGGACGGGTGGCCCTGTGCCTGGCGTAAAATTTGAATCATTTTATTGAGAAGGTTACCCACAGACCCCCTTAAGAACTTTTGCAGTTGAGTACGCTAGCAGCACCGCTAACCATTACGCACTCTCACCTTCAAATGCAGGCCCACTGCTGGCGTGGACTC